CAGGTGAGAAAAGGCAACTTTCTAGGATGATGATCATGTTTTCTATCTTGATAGCAGTTTGAGTTAGACAGATGCTATGGACCAAATTGTCTTCCCACGAAATTTGTATGTTGAAGCTCTAACTCTCAGTGTGACCATGTTTGGAGACAGGACTTTTAGGAGATTGTTAAATTTATATGAGATCATAAGAGTGCGGTCCTAATTCAGTAGGCCTGGTGGCCTTATAAGAGGAGAATCTCTCTGTCTGTCTTTCTCTCTTTCTCTCTCATGAAAACACAGAAGGCAGCCAACTGCAAGCTAGAAAGAGAGCTCTCACTAGAAGCTAACCATACTTACCCATGGATCTTGGAATCTGAAGCCTCTAGAACTGTGAGAAAATAAATATTGTTGTTTAAGCCACCCAGTCTATGATATTTTGTGATGGCAGCCTGAGCAGACTAATGCAACACATGTATCCATAAACACATCAACGTAGCCAGCACTCTGACCAGTGTACGCAAGCAGTCCCCTGTGCTAGCTTCCAGTTACCACCTTCTGAGGTAAACATGGTCCTGATTTTTAACACCATCAATAATGATACGAGTTGCCTGTTTTTGAATTTCACAGAAGTAGAAGCCTAAAGAAAAATACTAAGATAATAATACTATAACTCATTGTATTGTTTTCAGGAGTGAATGAGGTAACATAGTATACTTGGAAGAGTGCCTGGCAAGTATTGGATGTTGAAATATTGGTTCTCTTCTATGACTTCTTTCTTCTTCCTGGTCACAGCATGTAGCAGGTGGCTTAATAAAGCAAATTCTGTCTTATATGACCTCCATGAAAAGTGAACAGCCCTGCTCACTGACCAGCTGATCTTCCACACACCCGAGTCTTTGAGCTGGTGCTAAAACAACTGTATGCCTGGTTGAAATGTCTACTTCCCATTCAGATATTTAGACCTTGGTTAGACACCCACTAAATGAGGCATGTGTGTGCAAAAGCATTCCAAACTGAGCAGATACAAAGAAATATTATCCTTTAGAACCCATTTGATCCCTTTTTTAAACCCAAGAAAACATAAATGCAACAATAGATCAATTTGACTGTAAATATTATCTAAGTATGTCCTTTAAAAGCCAAAGGAATGTCAGATACAATTTATTTTCCACCAGTGCAAGCTGAGACATTAAGTGGCAATTCTACTTCCATTAGCTAAATCTGGCAAATATGCAACTGTTTAAAGGCATTGTCGATAGCCATTCACAATTAAGTATTTGTACTGATGCCTTATTAAATTACCCTTTTCAAGCAGGCATAATAAACTAGGAGTTCACTGTGCAGATTTTCATGGGGAAAGTCAGATCAGTATGGAATTTATTTAGAGAGAATTTAGTGCACTGAGTAATGAAGTAAATGTCAAATGTTTTGACCAAATAAATCTTATCTTCCTTAAAACTTTGTTTTTGGGGTCACAAGACACAGCAAAATAAAAATCCCTGTGATTATAATTGACGTAATTTATAACGTTATTGAAACAACTTTAAAATGTTGATTGTCTTTTAAATAATGAAATCTATTTTGTTTTTAACTGACAGCATTCCCCTACATAGGGGATTTCTATTCTTCCTGTACAAAACTGGTTTCTTCCAAACATTAAGATCCCTGACAGGGACTGAATGATAAATGGATGAATGAGGAGGAGGATGAAGGGGGAAGGTGATGGAAGAATTAGGACAAGGAGGCTATACAGGAGATTGATAAGCAATGAGCTAAAGAAGGCTTTGAGACCTATTGAGAGATTGTAATCTTCTGGATAGGCCCATCTGCATTTTGTCTGCAAAGCAATGTTAACTAGAAAATTGGGCCGAGCGTGGTGGCTCACACATGTAATCTCAGCACCTTGGGAGGCTGAGGCGGGTGGATCACCTGAGGTCAGGAATTTGAGACTAACCTGGCCAACATGGTGAAACCCCATCTGTACTAAAAATACAAAAATTAGCTGGGTGTGGTGGCGGGCCTCTGTAACCCCAGCTACTCAAGAGGCTGAGGCAGGAGAATCGCTTGAACCTGGGAGGCAAAAGTTGCAGTGAGCCGAGATCATGCCATTCCCTTCTGGCCTGGGTGACGAGAGCTAAACTCTGTCTCACAAAACAACAACAGCAACAACAACCTAGAAAATTCTTTATTTAGTAATGCATTGGTCTCTCCTTTTCTTCGGTCATTTGATATAGTGCTCATCATTGTAATTCTCAAGCATTAATTATGTCTTTCTAGTTCTGGTACCATAATAGTTTCCGGGTACAAATTTTTCTACTCCCATTTTCTTCCTTCCCCATCTATGCACCAAACCTAGAGATGTTTGGCACTTGGTTGGCCTTTAACTGCTGCATATGCCCAATACTAAATTTTCTAGCACTGTCCTTTGTTCATGATAAACATATTAGTTATTGCTGCTTCAATCTAAATGAAACAAATGAATTAGCAAATTCCTTTTAACTATTACATGTTAGTATAGTTTATACCAAATATTTGGATACACGGCTGAAGTTTTCTAGTTTTTATCCAACTATTTGATGTTACATAACGACAATCTCTGTGACTTTTTTTTTTTCTAAAATGGCCAAGAGGAATATATTTGCTTTCCAACTTTCCATAAGACACATCATATTTGACATACTTTAGGGGAGCTTCTTCAAGGAGTTGTGGTAAATACTTTTGTAATAAGAAAAAAGAATCACTTCAATTACCTTTCCTGAAAACTTTTGATTTTCATACATAATTATTTGTTGAGGTGAAAATATGTTTTATTTTGAGTTTTTTGAATGTTGATTATAATCTTTAGATTACAATGCCCCTGTGTATTGTATTGATGAAAGATAAACTGAGGCATATACAGATTTTGTTTTTTTTTAGTGACCTCCTACACAAGGTAAAAAATTAGCATTAGGAATCAGGATGGCTAATGTTAAGACACCAAATAGATAATTTTATTAACTCTCGATTATATTTCTTAAAAAAAAATCTGTGATTCTTTTGATCCTGTAAAAATTTGGCCAGCCTTTTATAGAATTATCTAACTTTTCAATAAATGTTACCTTTATATATGCAAAAATACATGTTTTATTATTCCTTATTCAGAATACCTTAGAGAAGGGAGGTAGGATGTGTTAGAGGAAAGAAGTAAAACATGAAAGATATGGTTTAAGATCTACCAGTAGCTAAGTTTGAAAGCGTGAGAGAATCACTTGCCCTCTCTGGTTGAAGTAGATATAATGTGTTAAGAACAAGTAAGGGTTTCAAAATTTTGTTGTTGTTTTGTTTTATTTTGTGTGTGTGTATGTGTGCATGTGTGTGTATACATGCGTGTGTGTATTTTAGTCTGTTCTGAGCCCAGGGACACAGACTCATTAGTCAGAGGCAAGTGCTGAAATGGAAATCAGGATAAACCACAGAGCAGCTGTCCTGGAAGTAACATCAGTGGACTATCTTTTAACAATATGAATCCCTGGGCCTTATCAAGTCAGAATTTTCTAGGAGAGGATGGAGGTGAGGTGGGTCTGTGATTCTAATAAGTGCCTCAGGTGGTTCCAATGCTCATTGAAATTTAAGAACCAGTTCTATTAGATAAATGTATCTGTTTCTGTTTCCCTGAAGATAATCCTTTAGCAGCCACATTCATAAATTTCTTACAGAAAACATGGACATAATTCTTAGCTCCCTTCAGATTGCTAATGGCTAGAGGGTGCCCAGTATGGGACATGAGGCCAGGCTGGCCAGCGTGACCAGGGACACCATGGACACCTGAGATTTCTTCGTAGGATTTCTTGAGGATTATAAGATAACCAACAGGGTAGAGCTTGCCTAGAAGGTGGTGAGCCTGACGCTTGGGTCTGAGAGAGAATCTTTGAAGAGATATTGCAGTACCCCTAGGTATTGTTTCCAACCTGCTTAACAAATTCTTTTTGTGGTTCTTGCGATGTTCAGAGCAAGAGACATTCAGGTAATCAGTCATCTCTGAACTAGGTGATCGACAAAAGATTTTTAAAAAGTTACTACAGGAGGGTCCAAATCAGGGCAGCTTCCCAGTTGGTATCTAGAAACTAGCTACACATATCAACAAGGAGCCCCTTATGGTGTGACAGTCTGTGAGAGGCAGCTGTTGGGTAATGAGTAAGATTCTGGGCTTGAGAGCCAGATGCTCAGGGTTCACATTTCTGCCCCACATTTACAAGTTGTGGAACCCTAAGCAATCGCTTCTACTGTAAAATGTACACAAAGACAGGGCCTGTCTTGTAGAGTCATTATGAAGATTAGAAAACTAACATGTGTCAGGTGCTTAGAACAGCCCCTGGCACTGTTAGCTGTTACAGTTAACTCTCCTCTGCACATAGTAAAACAGGCAATGGTCTGTGATGTTGGAGTGGAAGGATGTCCAGTCTGCATTCCTGTTGACTAACAATGGGGCCTGAAATTCTTACTATTGATAGATACTTTGGATTAAGACAGCAGCAATTCTAGAATTTTGCATGATTCAGGAGGAGTACATGTTCAACCATTATGCTAGTGATACACCTTGACTTTGTCAGATGAGCTAGACAGGCCCAGAGAGAATTGCCCTTGGATTAGTCCAAGCGTGAGCAACGACATTCAAGCAAGTTTCAGCAGAATGTAGTAGGGTGAGGACCTCTGTGGGCAGTCTAAGTCCAAGGCTACATAAAGCAAGAAGTAATCAGGGGACGATGCTTTTGTTTTGCCTATCCCAGCAGCCTTGCCTATGAGAGAAATTAAAAAACAATGCCATAGATAATTTCACACTTAATCAGCATCTAGTTGGGGTTGTGTGTCTGTTGAATACTCATGGTTTTTCTCCCTTAGTTATGGAAGCCTGCTGTCCCTCTGTCTTTATTAGCAGCTCTGCAAAGCGCTAGGCTGAAGTGCTCTATTGATCTCCAGATAGTACAGCCGGACTCCCAGCTGCCCTGACAGTTGCCTCTGCTCAGAGTCCCAGGAGCTGGGCGAACATTTCTGCCTTGATATTCACTGGGAAGGTCCCTTGTTCGCACAGACACTGTCCAATCCTGCGTAACATGGAGTGAAAAAAAACTGGCTTCTGAACAAGAGCTTGCAATTGTGGGAGAAGTGAGTGGAGGGAGGAACAGCGGCCATCTTATCCAAGGGTAAATGAATTTAGGATTTATTTGAACCACTTAGTCTACCTCTTGTTGACATGATCTTCTGTCATACTGAAAGAAACTGATGCTTATTAATTCCAACAATGAGAAGGAGCTTGACTTTGAATTAGAGAATCCACAGAGCCTCTTTTCATTTATTTGGTAGCTTTATTCTATTATTTCAGGCAATGTATGTTGCATATTATATGATCCATATCTGTAATTTCTATATTTATGTATTTAAAATTATAACTTGGTATATTTAGTTGGTTTATGTTACATGCAGTGTTTAAGAGGAATTCTTTTCATTGACATGCTATAATGCCCCCCTAATATTCTTCTTATTGATTTTAGTATTTCAGAAGTATTATTCATGGTGACATCTACTGGAAAGCAAATTTCAGTTATATCAATAGATATTATTATAATATATAAAACATTAATATTTGATGACATAAGTGTGACACAAAGGCAATGAACTCATTAATAAATATACACATATCATTAATAAAGCACTCCAAGGTGGCAACTATGAATTTTCAGCTCTTGTTTATAAAGTTCACTATTTATTTACCAAGTAGATTTTGCACATTATCCATTGTTCACCAAAGTTATTCTCAATTAATGAGGCTGATCCTCCTTTAAGGTAACACAGAACTTGAAAATAATTATAATGATAATATCAGTATGAAATTCATGAATTTTCTAAAAATGGAAATTTATCAAAACATAACAATGTTTCCTTCTCTTTTTCTTTTTTCTTTTTTCTTTTTTTGTGTGTGTTGCTTGGCAACCAACATTGATCTGTTCCAAAAAAAAAAAAAAATCACATGACTTAGGAATTGCTAGTGGCAATATTACTCTGTCATTTTTCTTTCTCATACCGAGCTGATGAAGGTTCTACTAGCTGGAATACCTATTAATTGTTTCTTCTTTCTTTGAAGTTTAATTTCCATGTATGCCTTGCATTGAGAACCGTTTTGCTAAAAACTGTGAGTGGCCTAGGAGAGATGGCCTAAGAGAGCTGAGCGGGAAATACTTCTTTTTGAGATAAAAGAGAGAAGTATCACATTCAATTTTTTATTCATGATTAATCATATCAGTCTTGTCTTTCCAAAATGCCAATTACAACACAACCTAAAGTCAGGCAGCCTCCATTTTTTCCTCACTTATATTTTGAAATGATAACTCCAGAACTCTGCTACTAGCCTCCAGGAGGCTGATGGGTGTGTAAGTTCCTGTGCGTTTATTAAAACCATCCTCCTGATCTGATCCTGCATTAATGCACTCCACCTTGGAAGTTTCCATCAGCCTGGGGTGTCCCCCTCCTGCCTATTCAGCTCAGTTTCCTGTATAATGTCACCCTGTCTTAAATGAGGCACTCTGTTCTCAAAGGAAATCTTTGATCTGCAGCCTCCTCCCTTTTGTTCTAAAAGCTACTGCTTACAAAGCTTTCAGTATTTTGGAGCTACCCTTTCATTGCTGTCATAGGTTTTTTTGTTAGAATTAAACAAATCTCAGACATGGACAATGGGAATTTTGCTGAACTCCAGAAATTGTTTTTATAAAGTGTTTTTCTGTAAAAGAATCAGCCTCGAAGAAATTGTGCTTTGCCTGCAGGTTGAAGACAAGTGGCAGCACTGACACGCCAATCAAATGGTCAAAAGTGTGTCACAAGTAAATATGAAATTGTTTCCTTTCCAAATCCTTTGTCTTTTACCTACAGTTACTTGTTTATTTTGAAAGGCTTTGAAATGTATTCCTTGTCTGAGGTATATGCAGTTTCCCATTCTCTCTGTATTCCATTCTCATGTTTATGAGAATTGATGCTGTTTTCTCATATTGCTTTTGTGGCTTCTCCCACCCCACCTCGTGTAAGAATCTAACAAGACAGAAGCTTTGGAGACACTTTACTGGCTAATACCTGACCTCCCTCTCTCACATTACAGCTCCAAGTGACCATTTTCAAGGTAAAAGGTCATCCCCATCCCCATCCCTTTGGAACCAATGTGCATCAACCTTCTAACCTCTGCCTCAGGAGATGATGGCTGTTTGGGCTGCAATCCCTTCATTACAGATGGTCCATATTTTATATTTAGTGTGGGAAGTCAAATTTAGGAAAGCAATTTCTCTTAAAGCTAGGAGTTCCAATAACCCAACATCTTCTATTGGCTTATGGGTGAGTGGACAGTAATGGGTTTATGGGAAGCGCCCGCTGGTCTGTCTTTTCCAGGGAGGGGATTATTCCTGTCAATCTAAATTTTTAGAATTGGTGGGCTCCCATTGTTTATTATTCAGCAAGCTTTTATTAGATTGTCTCTAAGCACAAGGCAGCAAGTGCAGCATCCTTCTGAGCAGGCTAGCAGGCTGGATCAATATTTCCAGGCATTTAAAATCTTGGATAAAATAGTGCTATGTTTTCATCTCGGCTCCAGAAGAGGAGTCCTGCATGTAGCCTGTCTCAGAAAGAGGGTATAGAAAGACACAGGATGACATTAGCATGGACAATAATGGTCTAATGATGATAGAATTCACGAATAAGATGGTACATTTTTCAAGTGAAGTTACCTTTAAGATAATATTTTACTCTTTTGTGACAGTTTAGCCTATATGTATATAAAAAAAAGTACTACCGGGCTACACGAAAGCATTTTTGTGCTAACTTCAAATGAAGTATCACAGGAAGATCATATTAATTTAAAAATTAACGGTACATGAATTTTTGTCTATTATTACATATAAATATGAAGTGAGACAGAGACTAGATGAGCTTATTTGTCTGTAGTAGATGAATCAAACCAAGCACAGTGACTTGGGACCGAAGAGAAGCCATGTGACTCCAGGGCCTTTGGTTATGCAAGCCCCAGAAGGCCAAACTATCCTAAGGAAATGTGGGTGGGTGACATGAGCCACAGACTCCATATCTAGATCAAACATTCTCATTTTTAATGAACTCTAGAAGGAAAGCAAAGAAAACACTCCAGGCTTTTGTGTTCATATATCAGATTTTAAAATCCCTTATGCTGGTTTTCTAGTTTACCTGATTGAAAACTAGGCTGGGGTAGAAGAGACTGTAGGAAGAAAGGCTCCTGAGACTTAAGTGATGTTAAGATAAACGTGCCCCTCACCTGCTGTCCATCCCCTCCACCAGGCATAAAGGCATGTGAGGACACACTTGAGGCATGATCCACTCAGGCCATCAGGCTTGTGTGCCTTGAAAACATTTCAATTTAAACATGATAATAGGTGATATGGTTTGGCTCTGTGTTCCCACCCAAATCTCATCTCGAATTGTAATCCCCACATGGTGAGGGAGGCACTTGATGGGAGGTGATTGGATCATGGGGGTGTTTTCTCCCATGCTGTACTCATGGTATTGAGAGAGTTCTCACTATCTGATCTGATGGTTAAAAAGTGTGGCAGTTTCCTTCGCTCTCTCTCTCTCCTGCGCCTCGTGAAGGTGCTCTGCTTCCCTCTTGCCTTCCACCATGATTGTAAGTTTCCTGAGGCCTCCCTAGCCATGCAGAACTGTGAGTCAATTAAATCTCTTTCCTTTGTAAATTACCCAACCTCAGGTAGTTCTTTACAGCAGTGTGAGAACAGACTAACACAGTAGGTAATGATGGTATGGTAGCTACTGGTCTTATTATTATTTTTATCACTGCTGAATATTTACTATGTTGTAGGTATTCTCACAATATTTTCTCACAAGTTCTTTTGAGACAAAATATTGTTATTATCTAGTTACTTTACAATCAAGAAGATAAGGAACAGGAAAAAAGTGAGTATTTATTAACTACCTCTTACATGGTAGGCAATATGATAGATATTTTCATACATGTTATTAAAGTTTATTCTTAAAACTTTTATTTAATAAGGTATATAGAGGAACTATAATTACACAGGTGAGGAATCGGAGACTCAGAAAGGTTAAATAATTTGCCTGAGGTCATGAAGCTAGTAGGTGGTAGAGCTGGGTTGCAAGTAACCAGCTGTGCTTTGTCCCTTGATTGCATTCTATTTTCATTTGACAATAATGCCTCTTGGAAAGAGCAAATAACCTCCACATGCAGGGTCTTTGTCTTATCCCTCAGAGGTATTTGTCTCCCCACTGCCTCACGTATACTCAGCTCTAAAGATATTTGACCCAAGAGAATTGGCCAGCTAGAGATGTGAGGACCTGTGAGTTGAAGCTCAATGTTACTACTCTCTGGCACATAAAGGGCCACAATGTCTGAAAGTCTTCAGTAATACTGGAGTCAGAAGACATGAATAAACAGAAGTCAAGGTAGTAGTTTAATCCCAACGACATGTAAACAAACTCACTTTTAAAAGTTGGTACTATTAACTCGTGGATTAAAGCTCTTATTCAATAGCAAATTAAATTTACTTTGTTTCTGGAGAACATTTCATCAAAGAGTTTGTGTCTAAGTCTTGACTGTAATTTTGTAATTGGGTGCAGGGAGTTGCAGCAACCTTCCTAGGAATTGAGGAAGAGGATCTGACATGAGGACACAGAAAAGGCAGATCTAATATCACTGTGGATATTTCTTTCCTCCTTTTCCTGCTTGAACGGCCTGAAAAATCATCACTATTATGATCCTTTTGGGTCCCCATGTGCCTCATTTCTTCACATGTAAAATTGGGTAATGCAACTGTAGCATGACCTGTTGATTAAAGAATAACTTGCAAACAAAGTAGTGGGAGGAAATGCCCAGGTGTTTGGCAAGAAACAAGAAACATAGTCCTTTTTGTTCAAATGTCATTTTAAAAGTTCAGGGAAAAAGACAAACAGGATGCCAGTAAAGCAGGTGGTAAAATATTGAGGTCACAGCACTTGGGCAACTATTAAACATGAACCCTGTCCTAGTTACCAGGGATTATCTGTAGGGATGGAGAGGGAGAGAAATTCAAATGGGGAAAATGCTGCGGGGAATCTGACATCAGGAATGTAGTGCTTTTTCTCTGCAATGTTTCTTCTGCCTACAAGAGAGAATACAGTAGAT